GTGCATGCAAGAGAGGAAACTTTGAACTGGCCTGTTGGCTTTTTACAATGGTGGATGTGCCACTTTCAGCCGGACAGTCGGGAGTCGGGATGCCAGACGCCCGTTGGGACGCTTTGTGGCTGATGTGAGATGTGTCAAACTTAGCTTGATGGTCTGTCAAGAGTTTTTTCCTATAGACAACAAGCACTGATTGAGGCAGTTTGCCTGTTGAAAGAGGGATTGGGAAGCTCTTGGCATTGAACGTACATCCATCGCATCCACCATCGCTTCGATTTGAGGATTTGACCTGTTCGACAAAAACCTCGATTTGTCCAGAAGGATGGTCAGCAAAAAGAGAACTGTTCATCGACATCATGTTCATCAAGTATCCCAGACGCTCCATGTAGGGGGGTCAATGCCTACATTGGGGTGGTTTGGGGGGTCAATTGATCGGCATATATGGCAGTCCCATGGGTCGTGTCTGGGTATTGACCATACTGGGCAGATGTCCAATGAAATTCCGGATGCGAAAAAAGGCTGTCGGAAAGGCTGTCGTCCACTGTCAGATCGTGGGAAGAGATTGGGTGAGACCAAGAAACCAGGGTCAGAATATTGGCAGTATATGCAAGGGCACTAGGGGCTCCTGGCATCGCTACTAGGAGCAAAGGACGGGCTCCTGCACTCGGCTCCTGCACTAGTGGGCAAGTGTATGGTTAAACGACCCAAGTAGTCATGTTAAGTCGAAAGCCACCCAAAATGTGGATTCCTTTTGTGGCAAAGCAATGCAAAGCTACGAAAGGAGCTCGGTTTATTTATTTGGTTTATACCAACAGTTCTGCCAGGGTGAGGAAAAGCTCTTGGCATCTCTTGGCGGTATCAAACTCCAAGGTGGATGGCCATCCCCGCTTTGATCCACCGTTGCCATCCCGGGGTAGGTGGAGCCATCCATCTGTTCGATTTGACGTCATGCTGAGCATCCGTCGGATCGTCCGTGAGCCGCTCGCGATGGCACAATGAACCCGGTCGCTTGAAAGGAATCTCGGTGATGATATTGAACATACCTGGATCTTCCAACTGTCGACTAAATTTTGCCTGTTCATCCATTAAAAGCAGCCAAGGTCTGCAGAAATGTGGCATAGTCGGAAGATCAAGGTATATGAACTTATGAGCCAAAGATGTCGACAGAACAAGAGACTGCTGATTCGGGGCAGACACATGCAACACTGTTGCCAAGTCACACAAGGGCGAAAGGGGTAAATCTAAAATTCGCTCACGATCACCTTGCTCATGAAACTCCTGAGAGAAGGGCACCGTGAGTCTTACGAAAACGGACCAACACCATCCGTACCCGTCTTTCACACCGTGCTCGGTTCTTCGTGCGCTGCCCGGGCTCGGAGTCTTCCAAACCCCCATGTCTGGTCTTGGCCGGTACTGTCGACCAACATGTGGACTAAAAACATGAGTTCTTGGCATTTCTGCAGCCCGGAGCCGCGGTCTCCTGGACGACGCGCATGGACCACTTCCGATGGATCGCCCAGGGCTTCGCGCTGTGCGCGATGTCCGCAGCCCGGAAGAGCCACATGGTGCTGAGCTGCTGATCCGCCGGATTCCCCAAGGGGTCCTCAGGACCGCGGGCAGTGCTGAGCCGTGAGCCGTGAGCCGTGAAGTCACGCGTTTATGTCAACATATTTGGTGTAAAAAAATATACACATGGTATGCAACTGATTCACTGAAGTGGTGTGCAAGGTGAAGGAAAATTGGTTCAAGAGGTTTAGATCATCAGGAGATGCTTTTGCATTCGCTCTTCAAGTCATTCTTCACTGCTCCAACTCCTCCCAAAGCGACATGGAATTCATGCCAAGTGGCCAAACCAAGCACCTATGTGTCATACCCCAAGTAAACCACCGAGTTCTTTTCACGTCACCCTTAGCTCTTAGCTTTTTTTGAGGGAGGAATTGTATACGTGTTCCCTGATAGAGCCCAATTTCTCTTACCGAGGAACGAAGTCTTTACAGCCCAACTTCAATCGGAAGTCGCCCAAGTCCTCGACGGGCGACATGGAGACGGTCCAGACTGAAGAACGCTTTCGAACTTAACGTTATTGAGAAATCAAAGAGACAAAGACATTGAGAAATTTGGCATTTGGATTTTATTGTAATTGGGCTATGTTTGACTTGAATTTGATCTCAGTGTCAAGCTCAAACACGAATGGCTTTGCACCCTCTGACCTTTTCCGAAAATGGACCTTTTTCTACATAGAATACAAACATTACGTGTGAGTATATATGTATGGTATAAATTACAATACAAAACAGTACAATAAAATATAATGTAACATAACATAATGCAAATGATACAATGTCAATGTAATATATAGTATGTATTTAGCCCGCGGGAGAGGGGTAGGCTGCTAGGGTGGGCCAACAGGTAAGCTAACAAGTGAGGGGTAGCTACTAAGCTTAAGGAGCTACTAACGATCGGACGCAACCAGCTCTTCGGCTTCTTCAAGGAAGTTCACCCCGCCTGAGGGCGAGGGGTGGGCTTCCTGGAAGAAGCCCTCGCACCATTAATTTGGTTCATAGGTGTCTTCAATAGCTTTGGAGGAAACTTCACTTGGTACCCACATGATCACACACATCTTTCTGAGATCAAAGCATATGTTGGTCCCGCCTGCATGTGCTTGGACATGTCAGTACTCAGGATGTAGGCGATTCTCACCTGGCGGTCGGCGGTTGGTGATTCTCACACCAAATCCACAGGATTAAAGTAGCATGTCTTATCTGCAATCATTTCCGAGGCTTTTCTCCTGGGAAATCCAAATAAACAGCTCTGACAGCGCTGGACAATGGGCGCTGATTCATTCATGTTTTACTCTTCCACTTCAAAAACATGTCGTAAATCAAACAGGAACTAACCTGTGAGGTTTCACAACTGCAATGATGTTTTCATCCATTAGCATTTTTGCACACTAATTAATGTCCAAATGGGGCTCAAGTCCAGATTCCCATGTGCGGTTTTGGTTCCTCCTGTGCGGTGTTCCACTCTCGTGGAACCAGTCGAAGCACTCCGCCTGACGCTCCTTCTGTTCAAGCGCTTTGGGCAACGCCAACACCCGTCGCGAAACCAAAAGCCGCTCCAGTTCCTGGGCGCTACGAACGGAGCAAAGGGCATCGCTACTAGTAACAAGTGCATCGCTTCTAGTAACAAGTGCCTTACTAGTAGTAACAAGAAGCTACTAGGAGCAAGGGCATCGCTACTAGGAGCAAGGGGACGCTACGAACGGAGCTTTTTGTTGCGCATTGCGCTCGACGTTTCTGTCAGACTGGAGCCAGGCTCGGAGCCATGGCTCCGAAACGGTCATGCGAAGCCAGGAGAACGTTCTGTGGAGTTGACTGAATCAATTTGATCAGTTTTATAGGGATTGTCTTGAGTGGCCCCCTTATACACTCTGAAGGTTGTATGACTTGCAACTTAGCAGAACTTGGCAGAAGAAGTCCGACTTCATCTTTGATCTGCAGCAGCAACTTCAACACCACCAACACAGAAAATCCCCAAATACCTTGAACCGAATTGACATCAAATTCCTGAAGCTCCCATCCATTAAACAATAAACACACATAAAAACAAAAAGACCACAATTACTACAGTTACTACTCTGTGACTTCCATATCTTCCTACGACTTCATGCGCCGGTATCCACCGCCAAGAGGCCGCAGCGTGGTAGTTCTCCAGCACAGAGCGATCGTTGTAGGTCAATGCCTGGGATCGGGGTGAAGCCCGAAACGCCAAAAAGGATGAACGTTCCGTGTCCATATAAACACCTTTCAAGATAATTAGGAAAGAAACATAGCTAACTGATATGCAATCTTCTTAAGAAGAACTGGCACAAGGTTTGCTGCTATGATATTGTTCAAGTAATCTTTATTACTGTATGGGAAAAAAGAGGCATCCTTCTGCTGTGTTCTTGGCAGCTTGTTTCTCGACTTCTCTTGACATGCTGTCCAGTTCAACTGGCACTCTGGTGACGCACGAGAACGTGCCTGTTAAACATACTTGAGAACATGTCTGATTCTTCACCAAGGACAGCAAAACGTCACCAAGGAGCCAAGTCTTGTCGGGAGTTCACCATGAAGGCGTTGTTGACTCCTCAACGGCAAGGAATCCAACCATGAAATTGGCCATGTGAGGCGTTGGGGTCACCATTAAGGTCAGGAACGGCCTCCAACCTGCTAGCGATGGCCTGAAGAACCTACTAGCGATGGCCTCCAACCGACCAGAAAATTCAGGACCCCCCTGCAGATCTCACTTTCTCTCATTGGTCTGTTCACGGATTCTCACTATACGAGTAGTGAGAGCATCGTCTATTTGTCACTACGGGGCCCTGATCGTTTGGGGCATGTCTTTTTCGCCCTCGATCGGTGAGCGGCGTTGTCGCGACACGTGTGGGCCAGGACGCAGACACACGACACGTGGGGCGGGCGCTTTGAAACCATACGAAGCCGTGTTTCTTTAAGCGAGTGGAAAAGGCAGGATTGATGACGACATGAGTTGGACGCTTGAAGGTCTCACACCAATGCTCTGTGCTATAGCCAGTATCAATATCTTAATAACTCCTTTTCCTTTGCGAGAGCACTACACTAACAACAATGCTTGCAACGAAGACGTCGCCTCCTTTTCTCTGCCTATTGCATTACTGAACGCAAGACAACCCGAGGACCAAGTGCCTGGATGCCCCATATCGTGCCCCAAGGCTGCAATGTAGCACGAGGCGATCCTGGTGAAGTCAAGCTTGCAGTGTTTGGACCAGCCGTGAACTTCAGGTAAACATGTGAAACATCCTGCGCATCTGTTGAGGTGAATCCAAACCTCAGTATGTCCTGCTTAGCGACATGTGACTGATGTATAGACCAAAGAGTAGACAAAAAAACGATCCGTTGCTGATAGTAACACTTTTTGGACCCAACATCTTCTTCCCGTTCTTTTCGAAGAACAGTCGCCTCAAGGGGTGCGGGTCTTGGCCCGAATTGCTGAGCATCACCTTTTCGACGGACGCGACTGGGCGTAGGGACTGGACGGACACGACGGGTGTCCCGTTGGCAGCAGTGCTTCGATTAGGTCATGCAACATTAGGTCAGCGGGATACTTAGGTTATTAAGGGCTAGGTTTCTAAGGAGACTTGGTACAACAAGTGGGACCTAAAATTGTTCGTAGGGACACTGTGAGTTGGGATGGGTTTCGGAAAAACAAACACCTAAGTCACCTAAGACCAATCAAAGTATTCTTCTCACCTTCAACCAGCGACACACAGCGAGTGGAAAAACCTTCAGCAAAAATATCACCAATTCGGTTCCATTAAATGTACACACACCCCTCAAAATTGACGCACATGTGTCCCACCTCTTAAACTTCTCAATTGAGTTTGGGTGTGCGTTCTATCAAACCTCCTACGTACTCGTGGCTTCCAACTGTTCGGTTCCATATATATATATATTAATATGATTTTTTCCGATTTGGGCCGTACTACGGTGCCAGCAAAAATAACCCTAGACTCACACCAATAGAAACATATTTCTTCGATTGTAGTTAATTTGCGCATTGAATCAATTGGCTTTGTTAAGTTAACCCATTATCATTAGAAAGCACTACTCATACAAACGCAAATAAAAGGGTATCGCTACTAGTAGCAAGAAGCTATTAGTAGCTCCTGGCATTATTACTAGCAGCAAAGGGCATCGCTATTACGGCTATTAGGAGCAAGGACGCTACGAACGTAGCTCCTGGCCTTACTACTAGGAGCATGGGCATCGCTACGAACGGAACAAAGGGCATCGCGGCACCGAACGGAGCGATCGGACGCGACTCTTCCTTCCTCCACATCAACCTTTCCTTTTCGGGCTGGCACGCTGGACCGGACAGGATTGGGGTTCACACCCGTCTCCAATGACCCAGCTGACCGTCTCACCTTCCTGTCCAACTTTCACTTGTTAGCTTCATGGGATCTTACAAGCAAATGCAAACATGAATGCAGTCTTTTGCAAAGGCAAAGGGAAGACCCTTCGATTTGGTCGTATTTCAATTGTTGATACGAGTTGAACAAAGGTTAATTTCTGTTTAAGACATATGTTGCTAGGAAATTGGCTTCACCTTTGGGGGGACCTTTAATTTTCTCAAAGCCGTGTCACTCAACAAATACACATACCCTAGATGTTCGTTGGGGGGGCACGTGCCTGTAGTTTGGGACAACAGGGGACGTGCCCAGCTCCGCGCGGCTCCGCGGCTCGCACGCCTCAAAGGAGTTCGCGCAATCTGCTGCATGAGCGTTGGAATGGTATGGCACCTCTGGATTGTAAGCAGCCTGGCGAAAGGACCAGCTAGTCGAAGGAGCTCTCTAGTCTAGAGTCTCTAGAGCTTCATCTGCAGTGGTCGAAGAGTTCGGTCCCTCTGATCTTCCTCAAACGGGCAGAGGACGGCTCGACTTCAAAACCGATTCCCCAAATGGCCCGACGGGCATCGCAGTAGGGGGGCTGGAACAAAAATGGTGTTCACTTTCCAATTGGATTCATCTGCCAGCTACGATGTTCCAACGCTGATACATCAATGACATATCAATATCCTTTGGCAAGAAAGGTCTCTTCCTGTTTGATGATTCTTCCATGAGGCCCGCTTGTCGGGGGTGTCCCTCCGTTCGAGGACGCTCATGCCTCGAGCTTGGTGAGGAAGATCCCCAAGGCGCTTCTAGAGACCTCGAGGCCCGACGGCGCCGGGCGGGGACCATTTTGTTCACAAAACTGAACGAGAAATCTACTTTACAAAAAACTTTACATACTTTTGACTAGGAACAAGGACGCTACGAACGGCTCCTGGCCATACTACTAGGAGCAAGGAGGCTACGAACGGGGCTCCTTCTTAAGGCTCTTGAAGAAAGATGAAGAACGTGACCTTTGGACATGTCGTCCGGGTTTCAACGACCAAAACGGCGGAAGGACATGGCGGTCTCAACGCACACGCCGCACACGGCGGAATTGGCACTCTGCTTGGCTAAGTGGCAAAGGAAAAATGTTGAAGCAGCTCCGTGCCCACGATCCTGTGACGTGTGAGCCCATAGGCATCCCCCAAAAGCAAAACACAATGTGAAGAAAGCATCAAGACTCCTCTCCTAACTGGGGCATCGTAGTCATGGGACTCATCTAATCTACAATGTGATGCTACATCAAGACTAACGTCATCTAATGTCTCTCTGGGCCCCAATTCGCCAATTCTGCTCTCTACGGAATCGCACCACCAATATCAAATCCAAACTTTGGGACTGAAGTACAGGTTTTTGATTCACTGAACATTGAAAATCACCACACTACCCGGCACTAGTCACCAAGTGGTCGATGACAGGCTCCTCAGGATGCTGGGGTGCTGTTGGACTGCTTCAAGGCCATCAAAATTCCACTTGCCGACCTCAGGACATCACATGCAGCAGGCGCAAGCAAGGACGCTACGAACGGGGCTCCTGGCCTTGCTACTAGGAACAAGGACGCTACTAGGAGCAAAGGGCATCGCTACTAGGAGCAAGAAGCTACTAGGGGCTCCTGGCCTTACTACTAGGAACAAGAAGCTACTAGGAGCAAGGGCGCAAGTCGGCTTTTCTGTTTGATCAGTCCTACGGCCGCCGCAGCCTCGGCTTGCTTTGGTCAGGTGCCCAGGCCCCGAGTTTGCCCGCGAGGTTGGGGTTCAAGTCCTTCAGCGGCTCCTGCAAGTCATGGGCTTTGATGGCTAAGAGCGATGGCCTCCCACCCAAGAACGATGGCCTCCAAGCTAAGGGCGATGGCCTCCAAACTAAGAGCGATGGCCTCCAACCTTAGGGCGATGGCCTCCAACCTTAGGGCGATGGCCTCCAACCTAAGAGCGATGGCTTCCAACCTAAGAACGATGGCCGGCCAACCTAAGAGTGATGGCCTCCAACCTAGAGCGATAGCCTCAAACCTAAGAGCGATGGCCTCAAACCTAAGAGCGATGGCCTCCAACCTAAGAGCGATGGCCTCAACCTAAAAGTGATGGCCTCCAACCTAGAGCGATAGCCTCATACCTAAGAGCGATGGCCTCCAAGGCCTCCAACCTAAAAGTGATGGCCTCCAACCTAAGAGCGATGGCCTCCAACCTAAGAGTGATGGCCTCCAACCTAAGAGTGATGAACTCCAACCTAAAAGCCATGGCCTCCAGAATAAGAGTGATGGCCTCAACCCTAAGAACGATGGCCTCCAACCTAAGAGTGATGGCCTCCAACCTAAGAGTGATGGCCTCCAACCTAAGAGCGATGGCCTCCAACCTAAAAGTGATGGCCTCCAACCTAAGAGTGATGGCCGCCCAACCTAAGAGCGATGGCCTCCAACCTAAGAGTGATGTCCTCCAACCTGAGAGTGATGACCTGCAACCTAAGAGTGATGGCCTCCAACCAAAGAGCCATGGCCTC